GATTTGATGTGCTGCAACAAGGGCTTCAAGATGCAGGGCTGAAGCTGTCACTGGCCAAGACTGGATACCTGGCATCCTCCAATGACTGCAAAAAGGAGCTGACCATCCAGCGACGGGAAGATCAGCCCTCTGTTCACGAGCTCCTGAAAGACTTAGGACATCTTAGGACTGGATTCCAGCGGAGGGAGAAGGAGGAGGGTTGGCACACAACAAAAACGTCTGCTGAAGGCAGGGAGGAGGAATGCCAAACTTCATCACCTCAAGATCAAGTCCCGGCCCATCCGCATTCGAGTGTGGAAGACATCGGTGCACTCAGCAGCTTGCTATGGCCTAGAGGCGCAGGGCGTAGCTCCACAGAGGATGAGAACCCTCCGTACTCAGCTTGCCAGACATGGAGGGCTACAGAAGGGAGGCAGCGTTGATGTGGTCTACGACCAACATGGCCACCTGCAGGATCCGTTGATGACGGTGGTTGAGCGCCAGCTGAAAGCAATGCATCTGCTTGTCCCCAAGTGGCCGCCGGAACAGCTTGCAGAACTTCACACTGCATGGCGTGTCAGTTGGAAGAGGCTGAGAGCAGCGGCATATCCTTGGATGGTGGTCACAGGACCGATGGCAGCCCTGCAAGTATATCTTATGGACATGGGATGGGACGCCAGCAGCCTGAATGACTGGATCAGGCCACAGGCGGGACTGATGCCACCGGCACAGCTCAACATGGAGTTTCCTTGGCCATACCTCCAGAGGCAACTCAAGATTGAGATGGACAACCAGAGGGCCAGGAGGATCCAGGAGCTTGAGCATGCCTTCCCCCTGATGCATCGACCTGACTGGAGCACCTACCACAAAGTCATGAAGAAGGCCAACGGGGGTCAGAAGGCAGCCATCAATGCTTGGACACAAGGGTCCTTGAGAGCCCACTATGGGGGTGAAGCATTTGGTGTGGCAATGTAGCTATCATACTGAACGCCTGCCTGAAGAGTGGACTCAGATGATTGCAGCCAATGAGAATGCAATGCTGTGGGCCAGGGGACTCATTGAACTACCAGCCTATCACCCCATTCAAGGGGTGGACTCCTGTGAAGTTGGAGGCATCTTCACTCATGGGTGGCCTGTCCGCATTGGACCACATCAGAGGCTGGCAATTGGGGTGCAAGCTACGAGCAAAGACAAACGGCTCAGGAAGTTTGCGGTTGCAGTGGTAGCCACGCAATGGCAAGATGGGGGATGGCAACTCATTGGCCACTGCACTGCATTGGCACCTGGACCTGGCACTGAAGCAAGAGCGTGGTTCTTTGGATGTTGGCTCACGCTGCAAATGGTGTTGGGGCGCCACCAGCTCAACATACCACACCATGGAGGGTGGGCAGCCATTCGGAAGGGAGCTCAGGGCAAAGTGGCACCAGATCTTTGGCATCATCTCCCTGAAGAGGAATGGTCCAGGCTACAGCTGGTGCAGGTGCCATGGAAACTGCTCAAGGATCAACAAGAAGATGTGCGGGGCAAGAAGCAGTATATCATGGCCAAGGAGGTGGCGGCTAGACGTGCCAACCTGGAGCAGCCAACCTCACTGGAGAATGAGTTAAAGGTTGAGGATCAGCTGCACTTTGAAGTCTACCAGGTGGCTGGCCAAAGAATTGGTGCGATCTTGCAGGACAAACACCACTACATGAATGGCAAGCTGGAGCGAGTGCCGGAGCACACCACCTCCAAAGCCAAGTCCAACCCCAGAGAGGGAAGAGTTGAGGTGCTAAGACAGCTTACGCAGCGCCCAGCTCAGAAGGGAGCCCATCAGTGGCAGATGCACAACAATGGGGTGAAGTGCAGCCTCTGTCACAAGAAGATCAAAGCCTGTGCCACGTTTGCTGAGATTGGGCAGAAACAAGATACGGCATGCAGTGGCTTTGTTGAGCAGACAATGGAGCAGCAGTTGCGCCAACTGGTGGATGAGTCAAGTCTATTGGCTGAGGGACAGGAGGGACATAGATGGTACCTCCATGGGAACCACTTTGGATGCCACCAATGCTGGGAGAAGATTCCCAGGCGCAGTGGCAAACACCTGCTCCAGAAGTTGCAATCCAAGGAATGCATTCATGGGCCAGTGGATGAAGCTGCACTCAACATACGACAGCGGATCCACCCAAGTCATGCTTTGATGAGAAAGGGCACGTGGCTTGAATGTCAACAGTGCCGCAAGTATGGCAAGATAGTGGATGGACGAATTGCGCAATGGGTGCATCAGCCTTGCTTGAAGGCAAAGGGCCAGAGGACCCTAATCTTTGGGCCTGGAAGCTCAGATAGCTGAGCTAGGCATTTGATGGTCTACAAGGAGAATGAGCCTTGGACCTGACTTGTGCTCGGTCACTTTTGCCTAGAAGGCGTGACCACAGACCTCGAGGATTGCAGTCCAAAAGAACCGGGAGAAAACACAAAAAGAGAGAGAGAGAGAAGAGTGTGCAAAATGAACCCAAAAAGAACTTTCTGCGGTACTTTTTTGCGGTTCTGAAGTGGGTGATTGATTGCCTGGTTCATTTATAGATGACTTCGCCTTATTGCACTACCAGCAACACACTGTCTACCTCATGTAGAACCAACTGCTCACTGTGAATGCTTGCGTGCTGCAAGCGAATGGCACGGGGAGATCCAGCAATGAGAGAGGCACGGCCTATCATGTGTCACGGCAAATGTCGCCGTGACATGTTTCAGAACACATCAGGCACGCGTTTGGATGTTTGTTGAAGACGCATTTGATTTGTTTTCTTTCCATCGTCACTCTCAGGGCCTGTAGCTCAAGTGAGGTGATATCATTGCCCCAGCTGGGGCTGTCCTTTTGGGCTTCCTGGCGGGCTTTGTCGTGTATCCCTTAGGCACGGTGTGCTGCACGAGCTCACCAGCTGTTTGTTGTCAAACATCGATGTGTGCACTGGCACACTAAACGCCCCTAAACTGCTGCCAGGCTGCCAGCCAAAGGCACATGTTTTAAAGCACGTTGTTCATTTCTCAGCTTCCAAGCGCGAGTTTTGAGTTTCCAGCGCATGTTTCTTTTTGGCTCTCTTTGAGCTGACAATGCCTGATTCCAGGTCGAGCTGCCTTGCGGCGGATCCGCGTGGACGATCCAGCAGAAGCTGGCCTAGATGGGCAACATAGAGATGGAGCACGGCTCGATTTGTAGATGGAACTCGTACGTATGAAATTGGTCTTAGTATGTCTTAGTCATGACAGGTCGTGTAAACACGGGTCGAGTATTGTTGCAACTATATATATATATATATCGTATTTTGTTGGATTGTGCCAGTGGAAAAATATGTTGACAATAACATGTGGAAACACATGGCGGTGACGTTGTTATTCGGCCCATATATATATATATATATGTTTTTAAACAAATCAGCATTTCTCCTTGGTTCATGGGAATGAGCATTTTGTGGCTAGCATGATCCAAGATGAGGGATAATTTGCTTCGGTTAACGCCCGTCGCCGCCAAGGATGCGATCCCAGTTCATGCCGGCAATGCCGTGTTTGGCCTCATCGCGGTCGCATTCTGCCGCTGGGCCCCAGGATTCGTGGCACGGTGGGTTTCTACATCTCCTGGCCCGGACAGATTGATTCATCAACACGGTGCGACCTGCATTAGCCATTCCGGTCAGAATGCAGCTATTCCGGTCAGAGTGTCCCTGTAGAACAGCTGTGAGACGGCTAATGTAGACTCTTGATGTATTATTAGTAACCCTCGTTTGAGTTGGAAATCCTTTTCATATTCAATAGTCTACATTAATGTCCACCTCTGATTAAGAAATAGCCCCCCCCTCCTGAGTGATCTCAAATAGTCTTAACAAGGGTTTTAGTATCAAATTGATAGCATTGGCCTTACTATATAAATAGAAGAAAGGAATCTTTAGAAGAAAGGAATCTACAGAAAGGGCTAAAGGGTTTGGTGTTGGTTGGTGTTGGTTGGTGTTGATGGTGCTTGCTGTGCTGTGCTGTGCTGTGCTGTGCTGTGCTGTGCGGTGCTGCTTGCTTTCTTTCGAGGCAGGGGTGATTTTGTCTCAAAACTTGTTGTTAAAGGCTCGTTTGGGATAACTAGGTTCAGGGGTAATAACATTTAGCTTATATAATTCAGTTGTATTTTCCTAATTGATTTTGGGGTGATTTACTTATTCCTAGGACGACAGACTCTGCACAGAGGGTGCCCTTGCTCGGTGTCACCGGGGAAGACAGTGCGTGAAACTCCGAGACTGAAGCCGACCGTCGAAGCGATTGTTTTTGCGTGGTTGGTCGGTTGAAGGCGTGGTTGGTGGACTCCCACCCTCCAAAGCACTCCAAAATATGAGAGAATTTCATGAAGTTTATAGATATATACTCCGAAGTCTATAACATTCTATCACCCTTAGCATTCTGTCAACTGCATGCTTGGACTTTGGAATGTCAGACCCCAGTCTGAAGGGGTCAGTCTTAGACTCACATCCCAAAATCCCTGCCAAGTAGTGGCCTATTTTCTTTTGCGTTTTGTCCCAGTCTCCGTTCTCCAAGGCAGGTTATAGGTCCTCGGACCCGCTGAGGTCATCCTCCCTGCGAGTCGTCTGGGCACCCCTTTTGCGGCGCCGAGCATCGTGTGGGCCACTGGGACAGGTGGAGAGTGGGGCGGGCACAATCCAAATGAATCCAATACAATCCCTCAAGGATTCCAAAGGCTAAGCCTACGTTGGCCGCTGCAGTGCTTGGTTTCTCCCTAAGATCGCCAAATCGCTCGCACTTCGTTCCAGCGGGCTGTCAGCCTGATGCCTTGTTTTGATGGTCGCCGCCGCCGCCAGCTGTTCTTCATCAGCTGTTGATGCCAACATGACATGGCCAGCAGGTTGTATTTACTCAATCTCATGCAGATTCCTAAAGGCAAGTATTGATTATTGCATCTAGGGCCCCTTTGCACAATCTTTTGCGCCAAAAAGACGGTTCCAGCAACCAATCGAAATCATGTGGTGTTGACTTGGCCATTGGTCTCCATGCTGCTTTGGTCCTTGCTTTTGGCGAAGCTAGGCTTCGTTTGTTCGAGTGCGCCGCACTTTGGCATCCCCTGGCAGCAGCGGCAGACGCATCCGGATGGATGGCAGGCAGAGAAAAAACGGATGGCCGTGCGAGACACCGACACATGACTGACAACACCGTGCCCCAACTGATCAAAATTTATAGATTTTCAGGTTAATTCGCGTGGCAACTTTCGGCTGCCAAGCGGAGTCATTTTCGACGAAAACCCTTAGGCCCTCGGCTCACTGTCACTGGACAGGAGGATCTATATGATGGCATTGTTTGGCCGGGATCCGCTATGATATATTTATAATGCGTTGACTTGCTACAAGATTTCCTACAAAATAGTCAAGCACCCAAAGTATGCTCATGTTTTTGTTACACCATTTGTCCGATGCCTTCTTCCAGGAGGCCCTGCTCCACCCCAGCAGTCTCCACGTCGCCCGCAGTGCGCTACGGCTGGGTGGTGTCCCATGGCAGCGCGTCCGACAGCAGGCGCTCAAGGCGGAGAGAGCAGAGCTGGCAGCCGAGGCCAGTTGGACACCAGACGACTTAGGTGTTCCATGGCGACATTTCTTTCAATTTCCAACACCTTGAAACGTGACAGGGAAGTCATGGGGATTTTCGATCGCAGGAAGCCCAAATTCCACACGTTGGTTGCTATTTCAACCGCTCCTGTTAGGCAGTCTTCTGGCATTTAGGCGGGAAGCAGAGCAGCCCCGACCGACTTCTCATAGATGAATGCAGCCTTTGTGCCGCCTACGGCGCCTTGCTCACCAATCAGATGTTGCGTTTGCACTGGCGCGAGGAAGAATGTCCTGCTTCCTGGCGCGAGGACGGAGATCGACGCTCCGATGCGGTGTGTGGCATGGAGATCTACTGCAGTCGTCGCCACGAGGCCGCCCAGTGCATTGAGGGTCCCAGCGGGGTTCTGTGCTTGGCCCGAAGGCCTCAGGCGTTGGCCTCGCGGCGCTGGTTGGCGTTGGCCGACCCGAGGTTGTTGAGCCCTTGGCGCCGGAAACTGAAGCCACGTTGGGGCAAAGTCTGGGACTATGCGAAGAAGATGATGGAGGGTGAAGACTTCCCTCCAGTGTCCATCGCATGGCGCGAAGAGCTGGAGGAATGGACCTGGAGAGATGGGTGCCATCGCTACTTTGCGTCTTTGGTGAGCGGCAGGTTCTTGCCGGTGTCCTTCAAGGAACCAAGATTGCGGATACGTTGAGAGATTCTGTTGTGAACCGTGACGACAACGGTGTGGCTGTATTTATTTTCCTCCGCTCGAGGCCTCGAGGCTGTGGCTACAACGACCCACGGCATGGAGCAGAGATCCGCAGATCGTTTCGGCTAGCGGCGACCGCTTGCAACTGGAACTAGCGCCGACAGGCATGAAGGAGACCGACTGGCCTAGAGTCGTGTGTGATGAGTCGCTGGATGCCCCAAACGCAGGACTGCAGGACCACTACCACAAGTCTCAGGTCATCTCAGGTCCCATTCTAAAGCTCTCCGATGTGAAGCATTTGATCAATATGATTTGATCACCGTTTGTGCGCTGTTTTCGGCTTCAAAGCAGGCAGCCCAAACAGTTTGGCCTTCATAGCCATGCCTCAGGATTTTGACTGGGTCATCGCTCAAGGAATGGGAATTCATCACATGTCACTGTCTTACTTTACTTGCGCTGTGCGACAAGTTTCCAGAGCATTCCAGAGCAACGCCGAGGGTGAGCCAGAGGGAGCCCTTGACATTCAACGTGGTTGATAATCCACAGCATTCTGTGTGTTATTTCATTATGGAGGTCATTCATGCCACAGGATATAAATATCTCAGCTTTGAACTGCATAATCCCATCCACCTATTAAAACACACGAGGCCCCCACTATTTAGAAAAACTCGGTCGCATCTTTGTTGATAGGGGGTCCCTGAAATCGGGGTTGTCCAAAATAGGGTCACCTGGGAAGAGCTTCAAAACCAAGTCACCCAGGAAAATTGATAACATCCTTTATTAAACTCGCATCAACAATTCAAAAACACCTCCAGATCGAAGGGTCTTCCTTTTCCGCTACAAAAACCTTTATTGGTTGGGTTTGGAACCTTAAAAGTTCACAAAAATCGGCCATGTTGGTAGTTTAGTAGCGGTTTGAAAAGGCGGTAATTTGAAACACATATAAACCGTATTTAGGGTGTGTTTTGTTGTGAATTGGGGAGGCTTTTTAAATTCGGGATTATCAGACTCCTGTTTACATCCCACTCAATCCAAGCTGGATTCAGAAATGACATGACATGACTGCACGTCCATGCCATCCACCAAGGAAGCCAACTTGTGGTGCAACTCTATGGGGTGGGCACCATCATTTTGTGGACCTTTGTGGCAGCTCGACTGTGACCATTTTGGCGTGATCGTTTTGGCGGTTGCATCGGCAGACCCGGTCGGACTCTTTGGTACTTTGGGTGCGCTCGGGGGCCTCTTCTTGGTTCCGGCGAAGCATTTCTTGAAGCAACTAGCTTGGAGTGTGGTTTTCAGCTAGCTTAGGTAGGGCTTAGTGGTACTGCCTGGAGGATAGGAGAGAATTGAGGCCTGCCAGATCACAATGTCAAACATCCAAGGTGGTCTTTCCCGTTTGGGCAATCTTTGTCTTGTCAGAGAGTATCTTCTCTCTTGAGCTGGAGCAGCTTGCAAAGACCTACGAGCATCTTGGACCAATTAAACCTGTCATTCTGACCCAACCTGCTCTATTTCTCAGTTCCTCTCCGAGAATCCTTTCCTGCAGTCCTTTCAAAGACAACATTTTTAAACTCGAGTATATAGTCCTTCAATCTTCAGTTGACACCCATATTTTGGAGGCTTGTGGAGTGAGCTACCTTGAAGCTAGGCACAGATAAAGACATTAAACTCGGCCCAAGTTCCAAACCAAGGAGTCAAATCCTTTATATAATTGTAATGTGCGTTAGGGATGGTGATGATTGATTGGTTGAAGAGTGAATGCGCCATGCTACTGGTAGGAGCCTACTGGTTTGACAGAGGGGAGGAGGATCATGCCGATTTGTCCCTTCTGAAAGGAACTTTGCTGACAGACAGCCTCAGGTTTCTACGATGCAACATTCTCATAATCACATCACCATGGCCGTCCATATTCCACATTGGTCTACCTTTTTTGATCCATCGGAACTCACCAAGTGGCTCCTGAACAGTCTGCAAACGGACGCGCTACTCATCAACGGGACGTTTATTCGCCGCAGCTTCCCAGGCAGGCATACGTCGATGCAGAAGCGGCCGAGGCTTTGGAGGCGGCAGGGACGAGGGTGTTTCCGCGAGGTGTTTGAGGATCCTTTTGGATCAGTCCGTTTGAAGCAACTTAGGAGTGAGGACGCTACTAGAAACATCATCCATTTGGGACCGGTCGTCCAGATTCTTGGCGAGTCGCAGTCCTGATTGGAGCCTTGAAGTCGAAGTCCGACTCGAGGGCATTGAAGTCGGAGCCCACAGTCACGGTGATCCAAGCCGATGTGGTGAACGGCACGAAGATGCACGAAGCACCCGATTCAAAGGGAGAGAGCTCGTCAAACTCCAGCTCCAACATGAGCAGAGCAGTCTTCTCATGTTTTCTCCCTGTGGCATCTATTCTAAATCCAAAATTGATAGATAGACATAGATCATCAATCATCAATGATAATTTAAATCATAGAGTGACAATTTTGCTTGAAGGATCATCCGATGCAGAATAGGCGGAACGAGGTTCCGGTTCCTTCAATGCTGCCCAAATCAATGTGGCACATGCTTTTCTACTAGTAACAAGTGCATCGCTTCTAGTAACAAGTGCCTTACTAGTAGGAACAAGAAGCTAGTAGAAACAAGTGCCACGCTAGTAGTAACAGGTGCCTTACTTATAGTTGGAGGCCATCGCTCGTTTCGGGACCTTTGGTGCTGCTGAAGGCGGGCTTTTGGGCGAGCGCGGCGCGCAGCTCCCGCATCACGCGGCACCTGTTGCGCCCCTTGGCGAATTGCTGGCTCTCCCTGCAGGTCTCACCCCACTGGAACCCATGTTTCTGGAAATCGCCAACAATTGATTGAACTCCTCTATGAGTTGCCTTTGTTGGGTCCTCATCAACAGGCTACTTGGGATGATGATTTGATGGGACTTGAAATCGCTACTTTACATCGTCAATACGCACCCCGCACCCGCCAGTAGATGTTTGTTCAACCCCCCAGGTTGAGATGGATTTCTCAATGTGACAGCAGCTTCTTTGGGGGGGGGCCCTTGTTGCCACAAACTCATTTCAGGGAATGGGGGAGAGAGGGAGCCACACACACACACACTGGGGAATGACCCACGCGCGCATGCACACACTTAGGAAATACCCCAATCATCCCTGTAGTGGTCCCCTAGAAGTAGGTCATTCTTTAGCACACTGCCGCCGGGGTACAACCTGAAAGGTTGCACCTAATCATTTTCAAGAGGAGAGGTACCTCACTAGAGAACGAACACGAATTCTCAAGAGTCATTTTCTAGAGAGAGAGCTACCTGGTGAAAATACATGAGCACCAGTGAGCATAGCACTCAAGAAACTTGAGAAGTGTCCTGTGGAGCCTTCTAGACCTGAGATTCTAGAGAAAGGAGTGGTGTTCTGTTTGGGGTTGTACCCCTCCATTTTCTAGAGACCCCTGCTTGCCCGCTGGCTGTACCCCATCATTTTCTAGTGAAAAAGTTTCTCCCACTAGAAAATGAACAAATTTATAATCAACATTCTCTAGAGGCAGCAGGTGTCAGGAACCCTCATTTTCTAAATGATTCTCTAAAGAGTGGGTTGAACGACCCCTCTGTGCTAATATCAAGGGGGATCCCCAATTATGGAGCCGATTAGTCAGGTAATTCACTTTTTACTGCTTTTTGAGTGGGGGTGCCATCATTCAATGTATTCTGAGGGCCCGTCACCCTGACAAGATCAATCGGAGAGAGGGTCGGTTTTTGGATCCTTTAAGAGAAATTCGCGGAAATTGTTTGGTGCGTCCTTGCTCCTAGTATAGCGTCCTCTACAACCCGCGCGCGCGAAAAGGTCCTAGTAGCTTCTTGTTCCAATTGAAATTCGATTCTATATAAATAATTGTGGATTATGTTTTTCCTGTTTCTATTTAATTCTTGTTTATAATAGCTTCTTGCTCCTAGTATGGCCAGGAGCCCCTAGTAGCGTCCTCTACCCCCGCTTGAGGTCAACATGGCTGGAAATGGGCTGGTGCGCCGTGCCTTGACAAGAGATGTCGCCCCAAACTCACTCAGGACCTCCTTACCGGGTCCCTGGGGGCCCCTGGAAGAGGAGTTTGTTGTTCTAGTTCTTGTTGTGTTTTTTTTTCTGGGAGGCCATTGCTACTAGGTTGAAAGCCATCATTTAGGTTAGGTTTTTCATTTCCGGGAGCTGCATCACCAGAAGTAGCGACGCACGATGTCATTTCCCGCTGGACTGACTGATGTGCTCGCACACCTCGAACGAGCACGCGGGGACTCTGACAGTTGCTGGACGACATTAGGGGATACCAGGGGCATCTAGGGACAATTTTTAGGCATATTAAGGAGATCAGACCTGTGGCCCAGCAAGAGTCTGAACTCACAACCCACAGCCCAGGGAGTACGACGGTATGGCAAGTTGGCCTGGCTGGTAGTTGGTGTGCCGGGAACCCTGCAACCACCCTACGACGGGTCACACAGCTTCCCAGAAATGGCACGCAGCACACCCCAACCTTAACCATCGGACACAGAGAGATCTTGCAGAAACCACAACATGTTCTTCCCGTGACATTTTTTGTGGAACTCACGCACTAGATGAAGCGCTCGAGATGAGGTTCAAAGATATAAAGGACGCACAAGACTTTCGGCAAGACATCCTGGAAGCCATCCACAGCAGCAAGACGGCTCGCTGGGCATGTTTGGTGGGGACGAAGTGGGCGTGATACTGGGTCGTTCCTGTAGAACGAACTTTCTAGAGCCAAGGCAGGACATGAGTTGGTGATGGTGGATTTCAAAGTCAAGGTCTGGTTGGCTGGATTCTGGATCCAATGCAAGGGGATTTGTGTGTGTGTGAGCGTTGGCGTGTGTTGGTGTTCAGGTCCAGTTGATGCAAGAGTTGCAAACGTTGCAAGTATTTATGCGTAGCCCAAGAGGAACACTTAATCACGAAAGCCAGCTGATAGGCTAGGCTTGTGTTACTTTCTGATAAAGAAGTGAGTCTTTAGGGGGGTTGGGGGGCAGGCCGGGTAAAGTGGATGTAAACCACGTTGGCCTGCTGGTGTGCTTTTACTTTGCCAAGGATGTGATTTTTGGTGGGTTGATGATGCTCATTTGCATCAGCAACCTTCTCTAAGGACACTCTTGAGTTTATGTGACTATCGAATGTTGGCCTTTGAAACCTTTCGGCATCAATTGTTGATCCATTTGCCTCCCAACTCCTATAAGGATGGCGGAGACCCTGCGGGGAGCTGATTCCGTGGGGGGGACGCTTTGCACTTCCATTGGCTTTCGTTTCCCCCTCCTTAGGTTTGTTCGAACCAAGCAAGCACCACCAAAAGATTAGAAGAGGACACCCTGAATCAGACAAAAGCCAAGAGCAAGTGATAGGCGTGCAGTCAGAAGCTAGTGAGACAAGCAAATCACCTGGGTGGTTTACAGTGAGGAGATTCTCAGTCAAAATGGAGCGTCACAATCGCAACCACAAGGTTTTTTGGGCTGCAATCGGCTGCCAGACTTCGCGTGGCAGGCATTAGAAATGGACTTTTTCCTGGTTCGACGACTGCACAGCATCTCAGACATTCTCAGACCAAAGGGGGCCGAAGGTGTCACCGATTGGCTTGGGTGGACTAATGAGTCATTGCCCTCACGCATGAGCCTGACTTCGGCTCACTGTCACGGAAGTGGAATGATGGCCGCTGCAAAGAGGATATTTTTTACAAGTGTCTACCAATTTGTTTTAATGATCTTTTGTGATGTGCTCGTGGGAGTGTCATGCCTTTGACAGACACTGAGAGACCTCCTGCCTAGCTCCAACCCCTCGGATGCATTCGAAGGGCCTCGCTCGTGGTTCCAAGATCTCCTTGCTCATGTTCGTTTGGGAAAGGAAAAGCTGCCGGCATACGGAAAGAGAACACTGGTGCTCAGGAGTCAGAGTCATAGAGTTTGGCTGATGATGTAGACCCCCCAACCACTGGGTGTTCATCGATGCAGAGACGAACAGATTTGTTGAAACTTCTGTGCCTAGTTTGGCTAACAGAATAGTAATAGCGCAAACATCAAGGTCCAAGGCAGACCTAACTATGTTCATGATGTTCTGACATGTTCTGACTGTTTGACCGCACTCGGAAGATGCGTATTCACGTCCAAATGGCGATCCTCCCTCTCGTTGGTCGGGCGCTCCCGGTGTCACCGAATCCGCCCAACCGATCGAAGTGCCGCCACTGACCACTCCGAGGCATGGCTCGATGTTTGGCGCAGTGCCCTGGGCATGTCAATGTGGACGCAGACCAAACGACGTGGCGACAGGGTTCAAGTCTGAAGGACAAGTGTTTTTTGGTAGGAGCACGGTTCAACTCTTTGTACACACCCCCGGTATATACTTCCAGGAGCAACCAAACCCTAGAATAAAGACGACCTTTTTCCGAAAACCCATACGAGACGACGAAAACCTAGTTTGTCAGCAATGTTCAGAACCCGTATTTATCCCATGCAAAACCTGTAATTTACCAATAAAAAACAAATATTCCGTGAATGTTTTTTGAGAAACCCGGTTTTAGTTGCAAAAACTGAGTTCTTTTCAAGACCTATAGTATGTTTCTAGGTTTTGGATGGTCTTGGTTTTGTATAGTATCACATTGGATTTAGTAACCTTGCGCCAGGTGAATAAGACATGGGTTTTTCATGTTTTGAGCCAGGTGAGTGGAAGAGGGGAGAGAGGGATCAAAGGAGCCGCTGACTCATAGATTCTTTCCCCTTTGTTAGCTTGCTGGTTGATGGCTGTTACCCGTGCAAACCATGACCAACGAGAATCAACATGACCCCAGCGAAGCCCGCTTCAGGACCACACAAACTCAGAACCATCCAAACACGACGAGCAGCTCGCCTAAAGTCGACTTGACTTTCTCCTGTCGAACCACCAAACACTCTAACCACATCAACTACTTCCACGCTCACCTGCATAGCTTGACACCAGGTGCCGTGGTTTCCGTGAGCTGGCTTGGCTCCGGCTCCGCATCGCACCCTTTGCGGAGCTTTCGGGCTTGGGGGCCATGGCTGCCGGGAAAGAGGCCGGAAGAGAGGTTGTAGGAAGAAATATGACCCCGCGATGTTTGCGATATTTCGATGTGGCACAATTTTTTGCAATCGACTGTTGACTGGTTCCTGTTTTTGTGGAATGTCTTTTCAAGACCTGGTGTGTTGGATGATCGGCAATCGGGATGATGTGTTGGATGCAAGGGTTGTTCTTGTTCTATGTTTGTGCTATATCATCATTACGGATATGGCAAGAAGCACTTGATGCATACAGCATACAAGCAGTCACCCAAGATGGCTGGATTTGGCAATCCTAGGGATGGTTGGCTTGTGCTAGCTGCTAGTTTATATATATATATAATTGGGAAGAAGCAAGCCAGCCTAAGATTTGTCAGACGTTTTTTTTAAAGCATGGCACAACAGTTGATTTGTATAAGTATAAATTATATATATATATGTTTTGGTTTATAGCTTGGTCTACGGTCCGGAGTTGCATGCGGTGCTAGTTGTTGCAGGTGGCTGAAGTTGTTCAAGAAGCAGCTCGGAGACGGGAGCGTTTTGAACATTTGCAACGTGTAATTCAGAGGATTACACACACATAACTGAGACAAACACCAAAAAAAGGAGGTGGCAAATCGTCCCGGGGAAGTAATCCAGGGATATCCAGGGATACTATAGTAATTATCCTGAAAAATACTATATATAATTATATATATATATATTATAGATGTGACATATAGACCTGACCAAAATGCACAAGAGCCCCTCGAGGCAGGGCCCCCGGCAGGGGTTGATTAGCGTACATGAGTGAGGGCTCGCAAGCCCTCAGTCCTGGGCGGAGATGACGTAGACCATGTGGGATCAGAGGATGGATACACATCAACATCCAATCAAGACAGGTCACAAATTATGACGAGCTCCTCATGACGAATGCTGTTTGCATTTGTTTGCAATGACAGCCGTTTCGCTAAGGTATTGAAGGTGGTGACAGATCTGCAGGACACAAGCTCTAAGAACATGCCATTGGAACTCCAGCTTGATCAGCTCTCGCGGCAAGTGCAGAATCAAGGACTGCAGGGCAGAGGGTGGGTGGTGTGGGCTGTATCCGTTGGGTTCATTTTTTGGCATGGTTGCTGAATGCTGCATGCTGCTGCCTTTGCCCCCCTCCTGCTACTGCTACCGGGCTACATCGTTGTCGTGGTTGTGGTTGTTGTTGTCCTTGTGCTGATGCTGGTGGTGCTGGTGCTGGTGGTGGTCGTGGTCGTGGTCGTCATCATCATCATGGCAACAGTAGAAACCATGTAGGATTCCATATGTGCAATTTTAATTGTCCCGTGAATATTTATTGATGTATCGCATGCCAATCGTTGTTTGAATCACTCACAGGTCTTTTGCTGCAACGCTTGACACGGAGCAAGCGCTTTGCCGGCGGTATTGGAGGCGGTGTGGGCTTGTCGAGGCTTTTTGACACGAGCTGAAAAATGTTTTCAGAGCCTAGAAGGAGAGGGAGTGCAGAAAAGATGTTCCAAGGCATGCGGCAAGTGCAGCAAAAAGAATGACCTGGACCTTTCAACTACAAAAGACATTCGGGTCGTTTTGGTTTCATGGCCGTTTGTGTTGTTGTTGTTGTTGTTGTTGTTGTTGTTGTTTGGCGCTAGTTTGCGCAGTTTGCGCCGATTTGCAGCGGTTGGCGCAGAAAACCGAGTGAATGACCAAAACAAATTACTCAGAAAGTTACTCATATTTTTGGGTCGTTGGAGGATCCAGGACATCTAATCGACCTTTCGCAGCTAGCACTGTTCTGAGCGCAGACCCTAAACATCCCTAAACACCGCGCTACTGTTCAATACATCTCCAGTGTCCAATTATGTCCAAATTTATTGTTGCCCGTTACGCTAGGTAATGTATGGCGGTAACATATCCCTGTTTTCATTTCCCTTTGGATTCGTTCAATTACTGTAGGATTTTCAGTTGGGTCGATCAGTAATAATGGAGGAAGATGGGTAGGGGACGCATGACTTTACATTGTTTGCCTTGGCCAGTTGTTTGACAAAGATGATGTGTTCTTGCCGCGGAATGATGCATCATTTATTTCATGTATTTGGTGTTTGCTATTTGATATCTAGCTGAGTCAATAATCAGTTGTGTTCTCATTGTTCTCCATCCATCCGCCAGGCTGCCAGCCTCGACTCGCGAGCGTCTCAGAGGAGGCGGTGCGCGCCGCCGCGCAGGGCGAGCAAGCGCCGGCGCCGGAGGCGCTGGAGGCGCCTGAGGCACGAGAAGCGGAGGAGGGAGGAGGGTAGGCGTCGTGGTTTCGACAAGGGTAAGGAAGAATGATGGAGGACATTTCTTGTTCCAATGACCATGTCAGAAAATGAATCAATGAGTGACCGACCGACCTCAGCACTTCGACCAGCTACTATATATAATCACATTTATAGTCACTAGACTACATATAGATGTTTAAAAAAACACCTTGCTGCATGCCCAACCATGTTCAACCCCGGTCCCCAACACCATGTAGTTGCAATCTTTGGTGCGAAACAATTTGTGGCCGCAGGCAAAGCAAGCAAATCAAAGCTGGATCCTCCTCCCAAGTAGCCCTCATCACTCCGTTGAGCTTGATTCCCAGGCCCGGCCGCCGATTCCCACGCTGCCCATCACCACGTCAACGCGAGGGCGGCAGCTCCACCGCGAGGAGCACGGTGATTTGTCCATGCTCCACGCGCGGAGCTCGACCCCGGAAGATCGACCCCTCCGAGAAAACACTGAGAGATCCATCAAGTCTGCGACGACCATCTCCGACGCTTGGGTCTACTTTTTTACTATAGTGTAGTCCAGCTACTTTCAAGTGATCCAAAATACACTAGGCTGCTTGCACCCTGGGGTGTCTCAGAGATTCGGGTCGGGTCCGCTGAGGACAAGTCAATGGGACTCATCACTCCGCGCTCAGAGGGTGATGAAACGCCTCCGCCCATGGTTTATGGTCATCGGCACCACCACAGTAGCTTGGCTGGTGAAAACTCGAGAGAAAACGGACATGGAGATTCATCCCACGGATAAATTCTTGGCAAAGCTGGGAGCAAGCAGAGCGCACGGCACCTGTGCCAGCTGGCAAATCCATTTTGAATGAATATGATTAGACAGGGCCGGACACCGGTGCATGGGGCAATCCCACCCACACACCTGGCACACTTGGCACGGTCATGGACTGGGGCGGTTCTGAAGAAGCCCCAGCAGACCTCAAGAAGATTACGTACATACTGATGGTCCAGACATTGGTGCTATGCTAGCCTGAGCTAGATGCAAAAACATGTAAAAACCGCTTTTAGACATATCAGGCCTTTACGTTACACTTGACTTGGTCTATCAGAACGTACCTGCTTGCCAGTATTTGCCACTGTTCCATGTAAGGAACAATGAGCTCTAAAATTCGCCGGAATGTGTCAAAAACATGGCGACTTTCCTCCGGGTGTTTTTTTGCGATCCTCCGATGTTTGTTGCATTTTCCCAATGCCGATGCCTTGAGGAAACGGCGCGGTGGCGGTGATGGCGAACCAGCTGGCCAACCTACTGCAGGATCAGCGAAGGGTCAGAAGGGTGGAGAGGAGATTTCCCATTGAGTCCTTTTCCGATCACCATTGAAACATATGGACATGATTCCGATATGTCCGATAGACCATGTAGACATGGGTGGAGATGGCCAATTCTGGCGGAACTCTTTTCTCTTTGTATATTTGTGTCAGATTTATGTACCCAGCCATCCAACTGAAGCTTTCGGTGGCCTGGTCTCAAGAGTTCTGCGACCAAAAGCACCTACTAAACTGTACTAGACCATATGGCCAGGCTTATCCGGGTACAAATGCAGCAACCAGTCGTTAGGGATAGTTTCCCTAATTACCATTTTTTCGAGCAAGGTTGACGTCTATATGTCGTAGTGACACTGACTGAGGAAGTCGCTGTAAGTGACCAAGTGTTGGACATGCTTGACTTTGTTTCCTTTCCTTTGGCCTTTGGTTCAGTAAACTCCCCGCACGAGTTGTTCAGGCCCAGCAGCGCTTTAGTGCCACACTTCCGGACATACCACGTCAGGAGGACTTCCACAGGCAGGACCTCAAAACATCGAGCAATGCACAGCTTGATGCCATTGGTTTTTGTTTGCTGAGATGGTTTGAGTTTGATGAGCACTTGTCACCATTTGCACCACACATCGCGGATCCAAATGCTTTGTCGAGGCAGCTTCTTTTGGCCTTGGAACGTGACTCGCGTCCAGGGTCAAACCGCTTCTTGGACTGGACTGGGATGTGATGGATGTGACATGCACCGGACGGCCACCGCTACTAGGTTGGAGGCCATCGCTCTTACGTGGAGTGGAGGCCATTGCCATTAGGCCGTTTGGACCATGTCCGCCGGTCCCTACGGGAGTCCCTGCGGCTGGTCCGCTTGTCGAGGCTCGTCCCAACACCCGATCTCAGGCTCGTCGAGGACGTCGGACTTCTCACTGAACCGACTTTCGGCACCTCAGTGGCAGTTGGAGCAATGTTCGGACGGTGAGATGTGAGACATGTTTCAATGTTTCATGACAGGTGAATCAGGAGTGACGGCTGTTGTTTTAGGTGGCTGTATTTAGAATAGTTTCAGGATGTTTCAGGATGCAAGGCATTGCAAGGCTGATGCAGGCCCGTTTCCAAAAAATTGTGACACGCGGCCCACTCTCAGACTTTCAGTCTCACATTTTGCGACCGCACTTGGCTCAGTTATTGCTCATCTTCTGCGATGCCAATTTACATGTGGAGACTGATAAGATTGTGTTGACTGGCCTTTTAGCCATGGCAAAATCCAATGAACAACCGAGACAAATCATCAGCACCAACTGCAGAGCAAAGCCTGCAGTATGCCTGGTGTTGTGCTGCTTGGTATCAACATTATCTTCGCAGATGCTGCTTCTCAGCTGCTTTGCTGAATCATGCCAGCGGCACTCACGTGGCGCCGGCCTGCGGACAAGTATGAAGGTGCTACAGAGATCCAGAAACAATCAACAAGTAAGAGCTCAACACAGGCTGGAGAGAAGGCTAAAGTTTGAGGAGACAAAGTCTTTCAGTACAGGCCATGACCCACAGCACTTGCTCATGCGATTGGAGTTGATGCCAGCTCGGATTTGCTTCAGAAGATTTTCAAAGTTTTAAACTTTTAATCCATTATGCCATCATCCATTGGGCACCCCAGAAACTAATGTAGATAAAGACATGTGTCTCGATGCTCGCCATGTGCGACCTGATCAGGTCAAAAGGTCAATTGAAGGGCTTTGCGCCTACGGTGCTTGAGAGCTACCTTGACCAACACGGAAGGTCCAAAGACTTAGCGTTTGAATACGCCATGCGAGGGGAAGCAAGACTAGGGCGCACAGACGGCATTGAAGAAGTTCTGTCGCGGGGAAATTCAGAGGGCATGACCAAAGCCAGACTGCTAGACTTCGCGGTGGAGGAGCTTTCAAAATGCGGCTTTTTTAGTACAGTGGAGCACTATTTCCTACTTTTGAGGCCAAGTCAGAAGAGGTTAGACCACCTGTTTCATGCGGCAATCAAAAAGAAAAACATTTCCGCCGCTGAGAGGGTATTGCGCCATATGGATGAGGAGGGCTTCGTTGTTGACAAGGTTCATTTTGAGCAGCTCTTGCAAGCCAGCGTCCGCGCAGAAGGCGTTTGGAAAGCAGAAAGGCATGTGAGAAAAATGGTGAGCCGAAGGCCGGTTCGGTTGAATCACTCAGTTCACCATGATTATGAGCAATATCAGCCAGACTAGGCGATACTAAAAGCACGTCATTACTTCGATTACTTTCGGTGATGTACATACCAGATAGATACATCCAGATACCAATACAGTACAGTAGTAGTCCCTTCGACTTTTCATGCTTGCAGAATCATTACACCATGCCATGCAAGCCCAATCACCCATGCCTTGTCAGGCTGGAACCCACCGAACGGATCTATGGCACACTCCTTGATGCCTATGGCAGCAAGGGAAACGTAACTGCCTGCATGAGGCTTTTGCGGGGCATGAAAGAGCACCACCTTCAGCCGCAGAACATGCACTACGGGCAGGTCTGGTATATATAGAAGCAAGGTCATGTGTGTGTGTGTGCGCCAGGATGGAGATGGAGGGCACCCTTGGAGAGTACAAAGAAAAACATGAACCTGTCATGGACTCCATTGGCCACTCTTGGACTATGATTAAGTTTCCATCCAGCAACCTTTTTCCCGACTTGTTTCGCTATGAGACCTGAAGCAATGATTGTTCATCCTCACCCTGCCCAGGTCTTCAAGGCGGCTGCGAAAGTGAGCGAGAGTCAAGATCATAGCTTTTGCCTGGAACAGGTGCTCCGGACCATGATGGCAGAGCGTCTCCGTCTCAATGACGCCAACCGAGCTGACCTGCTCCGGGCTGTGGGGGAGCCGCGTTACAAGGAGATTTGCCGGAGCTGTGGTCTTCGATCCAATGTGAAGAGGCGAAAGAAGACGAAAGAATTGGAGAAATAATTGCTCGGCAATTTTTTGAAGCCCGGGGGGTGGAGCTGAATTCAACTAACCCTCTCCGTGATATTCGCAGCAACGGAGTGCCAGCACTGGCCGAAGTTTGCTAAGTACTGTGCACCCGAGGAGTGCGGTCGATTGTTGACCAAGAGACGGCTTATGAACGAAAAAAATGATAAGAGCCGGTGCAGGGCAGTGCCCCCGCACTTTGAAACAAAACCACACACCCACGCACATCACACCACTTTCTCATTTTTCTCAACGATTGTGCTTTCATGTGTAAGTTACAGCTGCTACTAGCATCTAATTTTGCACAGTTTGTTTGAGAGAAGTGTCAAAAGGTCAGCACTCACTTTCTATGTTTTAAGCATAGGTTTCCCTGGGGGATCCTGAGAGCATTGATACAAATCCAACAAAACGGTACAGGTACGACATATTCTTCTTAAGCGCATTTGGGCATCAGTTTGATCATATATTTGCAGACTCTGCCATATCTAGATGCTGGTCAATGTAGGCATGTATTCCTCGACTAATGTCTATAGAGATGTCTAGAGAACTCCCCATATAGCCCCCCAATGTATATGCATGTATTTATGCTGTTTGGATAGGTGGCAATGATCTTAAAACTGTATAGTTTTGCCAGGATTTTGATACATTTGATCCTGCGTTTGCTCGCCATTTTGCAAGACACGGCTCAGTGGCCACGCAAGAAGTTAGCCCTGATTTTAGGACGAGAAGCAGGGATACAGAACGATACAGTTTAAAGTGTAGATGCCTCCGTAAGGCAGTTGCCAACTTGCATGGCTACGACTTTTGTTGCGAAGTGCCGGTCATGGTAATTATAACAAATGAAAAGCACGTCAACACGTTGGGAGCTTGTGCAATGCAAGCACGTAGCATTATTCACTTGGCCTTGGTGTCATTTGTGCCTTTTCTTTCGCCCCCCCCTTCACTTGAGTGGGGTGGAAGAGAAGCCGCAACTTGCTGGGTGAACATCATTATCATTTTGCAGATCCATAGACAGTTTTGCTTTTGCTGGTTGCCGACTTAGCTTCTAGAGAAAGACGCCAGGTTGGTAGTGCCATGTCATCGATGGCCAAGCGGGCCACACTGGTTAGAACAACCTTGCCCCAAAGCCGTCGAGATCACGAGATCGTCCATGCTGGATTTTTTGTGTGGAGACCTTATTTTAGTATAGTTTAATGTGTAATATGTTCAATCTGTTGTATTATAAGTATGCGTATATTAGAACTAAACAACATTCTAAAAGAAAAAACACATAAACTAACATAAAGTATATAAGTTAAAATAAGCCACGTTCAACCCCCTTTGGATCCCAACATCTCCCAATGCAAATGGTTGATCCTCGACGACGCCCCTTCACCGGCGAGGTCTCCAGCCCCTTCACCGGCGAAGAGGCCATTTCTGGCGGCCGGGTTTGCAGAGACATGCTACACGCCTCGAGACCAACCTGCCCAGAGTGCGCGTTATTGAAAAGATTCAACACATCTATTGGTTTAGAGGCTCTATGTTGAAATGTACAGTATGTTTTGTTGAAATAAACCAACAAGAGCTGTTGGTTTGAAAAGTCAAAAGTTATTGTATTTTTCAACACACATTCTTGATGTAAAACAACAAAATTTATTGGTTTGCAATCAAGAGCAAAAGAGTTCCTAGTTTTGAGCAATTACATATATTTTCAGTTTTCAACACCCAAAACATCAGGCTCCTAGTTTTGAGTCAAGTCAACCAGGTAGCTAATCAGGTTTATTGGTCTTCAGCACCCACAACAGAAGGTTTTTGGCTTTGAACATCCAAAGTTCATGTTCTTGATTTGTTTCTCAGCAAGTTTCTTCATGATCCTGGAGGGTCTCAAACTCATTCAAAGGGTTGTGTCCTGCAAAAGGACTCATCATAGCAGGCAGGGTCCTGCAAAAGGGCTCATCAGGCAGGGCCCTGCAAAAGGGCTCACCATGGCAGAGCCTGTGGAGATGGATGTCCTGGATTGTTTAGACCAGGACTTGATCAAGGGCATTTCCAGACCAGGATGCAACAAGCATTGGTGTTACATCCAGTGCTCCACTTGCAACAAAGGGTGGATCTGGAGCAGGAAGCTGAATGGGGTGGAAAACTGGACCTTGAACTGCTACATATGTGGCGGCTCATGGAGGGACAGCTACTGCCAAAATGGTGGCTGGCACTACTGGAACCCCATTCTGAAGAGGCCTGAATGAGCCACACCTGCATGGCCCTACACGCCTTGGTCCCTGCAAAAGGGATCTATTGGCCCTGAAAAAGGGAACCCTTGGAGAACGCACAGCTTAAGAAAAGGCTGTTAGCAAGGTGTTGGAAGCTCTTCTGAAGACATTGAACCAGCCACCTCACAGCATGTTCCAAATTGGCCATGTATGCAGGCCCATGTTGGCTCTGACCTCAAACTTGTGCCTTGTGGCCCTGCACAAGGGCTTTGCTGTGTCCTGCAAAAGGGCACCAAGCAATGGTTCTCATGAAAGCTGTAACAAAAAGGAAAAGGGGTGGCAACCAAGCACCTAAAAGGACACCCTTCCCAGAGGTCTCCCAGGAGGCTTTGGACACTGCCATGCATTCCTATTGCAGGCAGATGGGTGTGAAGGAAAGCTTCAACCTGTACAGGTACAAGCACCTCCAACCTCAACAGGCAGAGGATGCTCAAAGCATAGCAAAGCTGGGCAAGCTTTTGGAAGTGCTCCTCTCTGTGAGCAGCAGTGCCAAAATCAAGTACAAGTACTTGAAACAGAGTTTTGTCTTCCTTCTCCAAGCCTGGGGAATGGAGCTTCTGAAAGCTCACTGGGAGGTAGAGGACAGTATGCTTGCAGGTCGTGCTGCAGACTCAGTCCGGCCTGTACACTGAGCTAGGCACAGACTCCTCTCACCAACTCGGGAGGATTCACTTGTCCAACTTCTGCCAGCCCTCCAACAAGTGGAATGTGTTTCCTGAGCTTTCAGGAGTGAAAGCCAAGCAAGTGAGATACCTCATTCCTCCAATTCTGGAGTTGTGCAAAGACTTGCAGGGTGACAGCCCATACAGAACATGCAGAACAGACTGTGTCAGCAACCTGAACAAGATGTACCACATCATGGATTCTGAGGGGTTGCATCCTCAGGAGTCAGCCTACATGCAATATAAGAAGGCCACTGAGAAGTGTTTGATCTGCTACACCAAATTGGCCAAGATGACAATATCCCAGAAGCTTCTTCAATGGAGCGCTGTACATAAGCACCACTTGAGCTGCCACATGATCGAACAGTTCAGATTCACCAACAGCAGGTTTGTGTCCACCTACACAGGAGAAACAATGGTTGGTCTTATGTCATCTCTTGCTCACAGTTGCCTCAATGGCACACCTGGGCATTTGGTACCAACAAAGGTGGCCTGGAGATATCGTTTGGGCTTGCATCTCAGGTTGGCACATGGTGACCTGGAGGTGATGGAATCTGATGAAGAACTTTGAGAGTCAATCCTGCAAAAGGGTTGCATCTTTGGTCCTGCAAAAGGGCTTGCAGTGGGTCCTGCATGGTCCTGTAAAAGGGCTACCAGACTGTCTTTGTTTCACTGTGCCCTGGAAAAAGCAACAGCATGTGGCACCACATTCTGGCAACTGTGAAAATCTGTTCAATCTCTTCAGGGTCCCAAGGTCTAAACCAATAAGGTCCTGTTGAAACAAACAATAAGGATTCTGTTGGTTAATTCAACAGTGGTTAGGAAACATGCACCTTCCTATTTCAACAGAATTTAGTGATTCTGTTGAAACCCGTCCTAGTGTTGAAATGTACGATTTGTGTTGAATCTTTTCAATAACACGCACTCTGGGTGGTTTATGGTTTATACAGACCTGGTTTCGGTAAACTCTAGAAAATCATCCCTAAAACCTAGCAGAATGTACTCAGAGCGTTTTGCTCCAATGCCAACCAGTGGTTTTGCACTGGGAGTTTGCTACCAATAGACTTCCGAAATTTGAGCCAAGAGTTCTGTTTGAGGGGAGCACACCTCAGGCGAGATAGCGACATGTTTTTAAAGAACCTGCCTAATACTGAACACTAAATTCTTGGCGAATTTCTTGAGATGTGAACTTTGGTGCAGGTGCACATCGATCAAAATACTACCCTCACAAAAACATCCCGCAGTAGATAACCCCTGTCTGTGACACTGGCCCCTGCAGACTTAAAGTCAAAGGGTTCTGAGCTTATGGTGGTCCTCTATTTGCGTGTGAACTGCCTGTGCTGGACTCACTGCGCCCACGATCAACCCAGGTGCGACGCTTCCCGCACGTTCGGGAGCAGCTGTGTGAGAGCAAAACCCTTGAAGTCGCCAGGATCATCAGTGATCACTTTGCTTGACCGGCATTATTTGCAAGGCATGCTGTTGCTTGAGTGACTCAAACGATGATCATGGGATCCTTGGGCAGATTTCGAGCTGTAACGGGATGCTTCGAACCTGCGAAGTACTGGTACCTACACCCATGAAGCAAGCATGATGTGCTAAACGTTGTTGACAGCTTCGAAAAGGCGGGTTTGACTTATCATGCTAATGGTTTCCTTAACACATGAATCCCAGCCTAAAGCACGCAGATTTGGTCACCAACTGATTCGAAGGTCCTGGTGGGATTGTCAAGTCAAGCGTGGATGAGAACTAAAACACTTCATTTGAGGAGCGGAGGGGGTGCAGCTTCAATCACTATAGTGAGACACATACACACATGATAATGTATGCCTTATGCCAAGGCCTGAGGGCCTGCCAGATCCGAGAACGATCGTATTGAAATTTTAAAGTTTGTGCAAGGTGCCAATCAGTTTTGGGAACCTTGGCGCTTCTTGTCGAGGTGCAGCGATTCTCCCCTCGTGTGCTTCTGTGGCTTTCTGAAATGTGAGACGTTGTAACAGGAAGTTGGTGTGAATGAAACAAACCTTGAAGTGGGACGGCTACCATATTCCTTCTTCCAGGTTTGTTTCAAGCCCTGAAGGTTTGAAGTGGGAGGAGCGCTGAGTGTGACAGAATTGGTTGGCCGAGGCATGGTTTAAATTTTAGATTTCCTTTCTTGTCACTCAAGAAGTGCAAGACCTCAGAGGCTTGACTTTTTGGAGCCCAAATCCTTTGGGAGGCAGTGGCCTAGGATGACCACGGGAGAGTGGTGCGTTCTTTCAGTTCCACATGGACGGAGAACCTACTAGCAATGGCCTCCAACCTACTAGCGATGGCCTCCACCATTGGGCCATGGTGGCCTTCTTTCCCTGTCACACATTAAGCCATTTCGCATTTCATCGAAACAACCCGGGCTGGACGACCCTCAAGCTAGGAATTGAAAGCTTGTGAGCCAGCCTCATGCCACATTTGATTTTGGCTGCATGCCCGTCATTTAGAGGAACTCACCAAAGAACAAGAGAGGGAAAACGTTCAGTCAGCCTTTTGCCAACCGGATGGCTGGATGGCACCAGTGAATCGGCGACGCAATCGATACATTGGTTGCCTAAGCCAAGTGGTGCATTGAGAGTTTGCGTGCAATGTGCAGACCCCTCTTGCTTCGCTCGCGCAAGAGCTGACAAGAAAAGGACGGCGTCTACGTGGCAACATGTGGTGCCACTCTTGCAAGGATCGACAAGGATGGTTCTATTTAAACACCTTTTATGAGGGTGCGCGCGCGCGCGAGTATGTGTGTGTGTGTGTGTCGCACTCCGTGTCCAGGAGTTTAGTTTTTAAAATGCAATCTGCAGGGGGCCATCCCTCTCACCAGTGGTGGATGGCCACCGAAGAGGCCACTGGTGAGGGCTGCAAACGGTACCTGCTGATCTAATTAGGGCAACAGAAGGAAATGGTACTCGACACACTTGTGTGTCGGTGCCTTTCCTTCTGCTGACCCTGTTCTAGTCTAATCTACCCGGGCGGCTTAAGACTAAAGGCCCGCTCCCTAACTATCGCACGTAATTAAGAACCGCTAAGTAATCAGTAACTAGAGTGCTCAGTATTCAGTAACTAGCTTCTGAACATTGTTCAACATTTCAAGTACGCTGACCCCTTCACCTTGCTGTTCCCTCGTTCCTTTCCCTGTCGATTCTGACATTGGATGAACCTGTGACTAAGTGTGTATCGCTGTGTTTTCCCACTGGGGTGCACAGTGTGATCCTCTCGCAAGAGAGGTGCTGAAGCCTTCGTGAGTCACATATCGACTTAGCGTTTTTTGAGTTCTGGGACTATGGTTTAACTGAATTGTTTTTCACCCAATGAATCAACTGAACCATATTGCCGCCGGGCGTACGGAGAATGAACCCCCACCCCCAACCCCTCCCCTCTTTCCTTCTGACGGCTTCTTCGTTTGTTAGGTGTTTCTTCAGGGTTGTTAGCTTGTTCGAGAGGCTCATTTCCGTACCCCTCTTGCTTTGCTTTACTTCTAGTTCTAAGTAGGGTAACAGGAGGAAGAGGCATCATGAGTCAAGCATGACCGGATTTCATCCATTTGGTATGTGACGAGGCAGCTGGCCCATTGTTCGGGAAGTTAGCTCGTGAAGTTTTTGTTCACTTGATCAGGTGAGATGTGGATTTCACCTGTGGCCGAACACGGGCGCTTCCAGTTGAATGCATGCAAATGTGGGAAGAAACGGTTCGCTTGTTTTCCCTACAGGTTTCCGTTGAAACTTTTCGGTCCATGTCCGTCCAGGGCCAAAAGCCCCACAGGTGTCGTCATGAATCTCCACAGAGCTGGTGCCCCATGGTTTTTGGTGTAGACTGCTGCCATGTCCATGCATCAGCGTCGGCTCATTGCTATGAGCAAACTCATTCGTGAGTTTCCATTGCACTCTAGTGTTGCACACCGACAGCACACGAGTGCAAGGCCGTTGTTTTTGTCTCGCCTCGCTTTAGAGACCTTGTCGATACCAGTGGTCCAGTATGGTCCAGTGGTCCTGCAATCTCAGAGACGCAGACGGTGTGCCGTATGTATTCAGATCAATTCAGATAAATATTTACCTTATTTAACCTTCACGAGGCACAGTAATTCAAACTGATTGTGGAACTGGAGCAGTTGATGCTGAAACCTGAATACTGTATATCGTTTGCGGACCACGTTGGACTGCAGCAAAACGAGGTGCCACAAATACCAGAAAGCCTGACCCAGCCAAAAATTATCAAACATATATATAATAACATCGCGGCAAACAAAGTCAAGGTCCAGAAGGCCTTTGAACCGGCCAGGAGGCATTGGTGAGGGATGATTTTGCTAAACCAAGATTTCGGGGGGCGCATTCTGCGGAACAAAGGACCGCCGCCCAGGTGTGTTCACCAGACATCGACGGTGGAACAACCCAATGCCTGGGCCTCGGTCGCCTCGGTTCGGTCGAAAAGAAATGACACGAAACATGATTGCACAGACACCAGTAGCAGAGTAGCATTAGCTTCTCAATAATTTTGGAGATCGTATTTGGACCCACACTGTCGCCCTTCAATTGTTCAAAGATGTTCAAAGTATGTGGCAATAATGTTGATGCATTGGTGGTGTTTTTCCTTTTATGACATGGGACATGTTGAGTGGCCAAGGCAGAAATGGAAACCAGTGTTGAATGTCAAAGTCACAAGTGGCTCGGCAGCCGCTCAGGTGCCGTCCAATGGAGATGTGTCAATGAGTGGAAATGGTGAGCAAGAGAAGAAGAGGTTGGACCATCCTGGGCCTCTCGTGAATGGGAAGGCTAATTAACAGCAATCTACCGCCAGAAAGCTGCAGCGATGTGATGGATAATGCCATGGATGCCCCTGAAATCATTGGAAGAGCTGAACGGAGATGAATCCTGAGTCTATCGGAGCTCCATGCCAGGGGTTCAGAGAGAAACTCTAATAGACTCTAGCAGTTGAAGTGCTACTTAGGGCAACTGCAGAAGCTGTGTTTTTTACATTTTGCCAGCAAAACCCGCCTGGCAGGGGGAATGGCACCGAAGTGCCTGCGGCAAAGATGAAGGCGCGACAGAAGGGTGAGATTGAACATAGCCCTCCTGGAAGTTGGCCTCCCGAATGAGCATGGAAGTGGATGGCATGGCCCTTTGATGACCATTTTCCGAGCCTTCTTCCAGGAGCGCTGCACTTCCTGGAGCCATCATGGAAGTGGAAAACCACCAATTTTGTAGAAAATTCAGATCTCACCATGTTCTTGATCGATGAGCTAATGTTCAAGCCCGCAGCCTGTACGGGTAAAAGGGAGCAATCGTACTGATCCAGTTCTTGCCGTGGACAGGATGGTGGCCCTTTAGTTAAACAGTAAATGGAACAAATGTTCCAATGATTGTAATGTACGGCGTTTGCGATTGATCGTCCATAGTTGAATGCTCCATGAGAATGTGCGCTTCATGAAAGGCCGGTCACCGGTCGGATGCTATTAGAAGAGCCCAAACATGCACGCTTACAGGGCATTGTTGGGATAAATTTGGGAAAGCAGTTTAATGCGGACAGTTGTCAAATCGTATATTCAGATTGTCGCCGAGGTTTATTAGTGTCCCAAAGCAGTGAGGTTCAGCTTGAATTTGTTCTGTATCGATCTGAAGCAGAATTCATTAGGTCATATTGGGGCTAACCAGTGGATATGCATTCATCAACCGAGCTCTTCCACCAAAAGCATCCCTGGCAACCAGCCTCAGGAGCCCAAAAGCAAGGCGAAATCCGGCGATGTCGTGGGCCAGAGCGAACGGTCCACAGAAGTGGTGAGATTTCAACATGCTCAGTAACACGCTCTTAACTAGTAGCGATGGCCTCCACCTAGCTTCTTGCTACGTTCGCAGCTTCTTGCTCCTAGTAGCGATGCGCTTTGTTACTAGTAGATCGGTGGCCGTGCCATTGAGTTTCAATGTTGTACTGATACATGCGTCAGAGCATGGTTGGGTTTACGACTTTGTTCGGTGTGAAATGTTCATGTTGACCCAGAACTTGTTCCTGATCCTTTGGCTCCTTGTTGTCGCATGCACCACCTTTTCCTGGATCAGAGAGGGAGGAGGGCAAATTGGGCAAACATTGAAAGAGGCACATGTAATTAACAAAAATTACTGTAACATAAGTTTCAAGGACAAAGTTGGGCAACGTGAAGCCTCATTCAACGATATCAAACAGGTTTACAGAGGAGCGACTGATGTGCGTCTCAGATGTGGAGGATGCAGCTTGAATAGGTGTTCCAAGATGGTTCGACAATGTTTGACTGCTGTTATCACTATCAATGTTCTACCCGATTCTACCCAGGCTTAGCAGCTAACCCGTAACTTCTTTTGGATTGGTTGTCCTACTGACCAACTGCTCATGAATGGGTAGAAAAGCTATGAAACGAAGAGGATTGAAAAGGTATATAGAACCGTAAATTATATGTTGTAGAGAAAATGAGGAGATCAGCATCCATCTATATCCCTATTTTTCCCTCGCGCTTCAACAGGGAAAAAACACATGTGAGGCTGGTAGTTAGTGATGCTGGCTTTGCTTAGGGTGAGAGATTTGGGTCCTTGAGTTCATGGTGGACATGGCCCTAGCGGGAATATTAATGGAGCATACGGATGTTTCGGCTCGAAAAAGCTTTCTGACAGAGGCTTTCTCACCTGAAATCTCTCAAACGATCGCTTTCGTGTGCCAGCAATGACTTTCCGGCTCGCGCTTTTCTTTGCCGCGTGGTATGGAAGTGGAAGTGTTGAGGTTGTGCCCGCGGATTGCCCGGAGGGCACTTGTGAGGATGACAGCGTTTTGATGCAGATGGGCGAACTGCATAAGAGGATGTCCATGGACGAGAAGATGGCAATCTCAAACATCATTGAGAGTCTTGGTTGGTCATTTCATTCATGTGACATGTCCAGACTCATTCCACAGATGCCCCCAATTGTGGAAACCATTTCAAGAAGTGCAGAGATTGGTTGTTTTTGAATGTTTTTGATGTTGGCACCCGTGCCCTCACACGCCCCGATGCGTCGTGGCTGCCAGGAAGGCTTTCTCCCACATCACAGGCTCCGGAACCTATTTGAAGAGTTGGTCCAACCGAAGTGGTCCATACCATGAGATCGAAAAAGCCTTTGAGAAGGTTGATGGCTTGGGCGAGTACTTCGCTCATGATATCAAAGAGGACCGGGTAGAAGCTCTTCGTGGGCTTGGGGTTAGCCAAGGTCGCTGCTAGCCAATTCAAGCTGAACATGGGTGACCGATCGCACGATGGCTGTCTCGTTTCTAGGAAGACAACCCTGATGGCTGCAGATAGGTCTTTAAGCCTTAAGCATCCTGAAGCATAAGAAATGAATTTGGGAGTTGAAGGGTGGGACCTAAGCTACGCGACTTGTAGCCATCACCAGCTTGCTTTGGGGAGGCACTACTCGCCAACTTAACGCCAAGACGAATCCTTTCGCGCTTTCCCATGTGCACAATTTGCCAGAGAGTTGGCAGGTGCTGGGCCCTCCCCACATCTCCCCACCCACGCCCTGGAGGTGGTTCAAGGGACGCTACCACACAACGCCAAACATCGAAAACTATTAGCTAATCGCACAGTTACAGCAATCGCACGACACCCCAAGGTGCGTTGTTGAAGCCAACACACGATGCCGCAGCCGATAAAGGCCGGCCATGTGGCCAAGCCATAATCAGGCCCGTTTTGTGCGTGGATCCATCCTCTTCGGATCCCTTCGGCAAATTCCAGAAAACCTGGCCACAACTAAAACCAACCAAGCTAATAAGGTCAAAGCACTTTCGTACATTCATTAAGTTTTTGTCCACCCATCTGCATGGAAGCACTGCTTACCAGAGAAGATTCTGGCTTGGTTTTCTTTGTCCTTTCCACCAATAGTAAAGCACTCACAGCAATCCTGCACCCTCCTTGAAGTCTCGACCCAGTCGTCTTATTTGATGTGATGAATCACTAGCCCATCAAAGGCCCTAATCATTGATTCCCCTGAACACTTTTGAGATGTTTTGCGAACATGTCAGAACTGGAACCTTGCACTCCCTGTGCAGGATGCCACGTGGCAGAAGTGCACCAGCATCAACTGGACAAAGGTGGCCACCCTCAACACAGTCGACCAAGCTGGTATTTGGCAAGTTCTTTTTTGTGCGCACGATTCAGCATGCGATGCACCACCCTACACAGCACCTTCCCACGTGTTCATTTTGTTGGTAGATTTGTTTAGTGGGTCACTCACCATCATCAAAATCCGCGCTTCGTGGGAGTTTGGGACTATACGGACTCTACCGACATCACAACGTATTGATAATATTGAGAAGATTTACGCATCATCATGAGATGGCCCATGACTCCCAGGACTTCCATGCTATTCACCCAAACGGAACCCTTTTCTGTTTCGGCCGACCGGAGCTGGCCATTTTCGTCCAGCGCTGGGACTCAGGTGGAGGGGAAGCTGGAACTGCCCTCCGTAAAGGCAATGCTTCAGGAGTTGGAGCTGGAAAAGTGTTACCCGGCCGAGACTGTTAGAGGGCCAGACTAGCCGGGCCCCACCCCAGCTGCACCTCACCTGTGGGACCGCGCCGTCCGACCGCTGGGACCGCGTTCCCGTCCATCTCCAGCGGTCGGACCGGAGATCTCGCGCTTTTTGAGAAGAGGTCCCTCTAGCTCTACTGCATTTGACGAGTATGTCTTGTATAGTTTGAGTCTCCGATCTGCAATGATGCTCAAATCAAGAATTGCGGGAAGGGTGGGAACTGCGTAAAATGCTGTGCCTGCCACTTTATTTGCATGTTATCTTTAGCGAGCACACGTCCTTTGCTGTCAAGTGAGTCGTTTGGGCAATTAAATTATATACATGCGATTACCATGATTGCACCGTCGGCCTGATTTCACGAATTAGAAATCACCTTTTGGGAGATTTGGAAGGGTGGGAACTGCATAACTTTTCTGCAGGTTATCCTCACGAACACATACTTTGCCATCAAACGTTGCTGGTGGGACATAGACTTGCCTCAGGGAAGAATGCTGTACGAAAGAATGACCAGCACATGAGCATTATGTGAGACCATGAACATCACCAATACGAGAGATTATGAACACCCTGCACATGGTCGGCACAGCATGGCCGACTGTTTTTTGAAGATATCCCAGAAAGGGATAGAAAGGGTTTGAAGATGTTTCAAAGTTGGTTCGCAAAGATTGATGAAAGTGCTCAAACACAAACGACCCTTATTGCATGAGCCCTACTTGACCCTCTACTTGCATCATTTTGCATCATGATGTTCAGGAGGCTCTTCGATGTACCCTGTCATGCCGTACATGTTTTCCCTTTTTGTCGAGCACCCTTCTTTGCCTCGGATTCAACCCCTTGCAGGGATTCACCCGGACACGCGCTGAACAAAGTAGACTGGGTCGACGTGTGCAAGTATGCATGGGCAATTTGTGGCAGAATGCGTTCGCCGCTGGTGCGGTTTTTGGTCTTTGGCGATTTGCACGGACCACATTCTGGACTAGTCAAGCTTGAGGGTCGTTATTGCACGTGCCGATGACATCGAAACTCAGCCCGGCTCAACTGGTCGTTTGCACAGCAGCTGGTCGCTTGTCCGTTGGCCTAGGTTGGTGCCCTTCGGATGTGCCACTGAGCTGCACAATGCTTGGGACCATATATGTGCTTGCTTGATCGCGACGGCATAGAACCAGCCAAGCCTGCTAAAATAGCATTTCTATATGTTTGCGTGCGGGTCGATGGAAACATGCCAGGTAATTCCAGTACGTGCAACTTTATAGTAACTATGCTGTTCATTTTGGGTTGTGCACGGGGGTCCGTTTAGCCTCTCCAACAAACAGTCGGATGGAAGATCATGAAAGTGGAGTTAGCCGCTTGGAAGACGTTCGACCTGCCAAACAATTTTCTCTCTACATTGAAAGGCTACCCGGGAGCAATCTCTAAGCTTGGTCAGTCTGAGAAGCTCTCGATCCATGTTTCCTATCCTTGCTGCTCTCCAGGTGCAATGATGACACCTGCAAGGCAGCAGCTCATCTCGAAATACGACCTGTGACGTGCAAACTGTAATAGAAACCTGCACTGGAGATTTACATAGGCCCCCAAAAAGCACTATGTTGTACGGGAAAATGGTCGGTTTACCACAGGTCAATTCTCAGGGTACCTCCAAGGTTGCGTATCGCTTGTCCCTCTTTACAGAGGATTGCACTTCCCTGTTTTGAACGACAGGGCGGTAACAGTTGAAGCAATCAGCGCACTTGAGTTTCATAAGCACATATAGAATCATTATACATAGAGTGGAGCACTGAGTTGGTGGTTTTTGCTCACATCTGAATCTAACTCTTTGTTAGATGGGGCTGGTGGAAGTGACATTTTGGCCATCGCGGTCGTACCGAGGTCCGCGCTGCTATCGATGTGGCCACCTTGCTGGCCAACTCTGAGTACGACCCCGTCCCCGGGCACGCGAGGTGTCGGTGCTCGTTTGGTCTTCGTGTTGAGCTGAGAAGGATGGTTTGGTTCACCACAAGCGGCCGTGCATCAGGGCGCGTGGCTTCTTTTCGCTTTTAAATGTTTTTCCTCGAGGAACTGCAACAAATTCTATATTAAGTCTTGGCAATCAAAGGTGCAATTCAGGTGGAATTTCTTCAACTGGGCTGGGTATGCTTTGCTTTTCCAGCACGTAGCATTGTGAAGTTCATAACCTGCCGCGCTCACCCCGAGAACCCGTTTGG